ACAATTTTCTCCATAAACGGTCCCGTCCAAGAGCCGGTCCGGTCCGGTCTGGTCCAAATGCTCACCCCTAATTCATATGCAAGTTGGATTACTAACATGGAGGACCATTCCTCAACTTCTGGTTGGGTATTCTTGCTTGGGGGAGGTGCCATTTCTTGGGCTTCCAAGAAGCAATCTTGCATTACAAACTCAACAATGGAATTTGAGTTTGTTGTGTTAGCAGCTGCTGGTAAAGAAGCAGAGTGGCTAAGGAATTTGGTCTATGAGATTCCTTTGTGGTCTAAACCGATAGCACCTATTTCAATCTTTGTGATAGTGTTGCCGCTTTGGCTAAAGCATATAGCCAGGATTATAATGGCAAGTCTAGACACCTAGGTGTTAGACATAGTATGATTAGAGAACTAATCATGAATGGTTTGATTTCGGTTGAGTTTGTGAAATCGCAACAAAATTTGGCAGATCACTTGACTAAAGGTCTGACAAGAGACTTAGTGCACAAGTCTGTAATTGGGATGGGATTAAAGTCCATTTAATTCTATAATGATGAGACACCCAATTCCCTCCTAATATAATGTTAGGAGTTGAATTCAATGTGGAAAGCTCATACTTATAGATTGGAACACATGAAGTATTCATCCCAGGTATGTGTTTGGTTCTGCAAGTTAGCTAGGTTGAAGTTTAACTTCTTAATAATTCCTTTGATAAATGTATGTGCAGATACATGGAAAGGAGTTACCTACGTGATTGTCAAGTGTAGCTGTATTTCAAGAGGTTGTGGACTTGACCTTGATACGATCATGAGAGGATTGGGACACACGGCTTTATAATAGTGTCAAGTTGTATTATGCTAGAAATTCAATAAACTAGTATGTATTTTACTTTCTGGTATTCAAATGGGTTGATGGGTTCAATTCTTAGAACACCCTGATTCTCGAGTATTTGCAAGTGTATGATACTAAGTGGAAATTCAATCGTTTCGATATTTTCATTATGTACTAGTTTGGTTTGTTGTTGATAAGGTTATGTTGGTTCAAGGTTTACACTAAAATGGGGGAGGATTGTTGGTGATTTTAGTGTCACCATGTCATCTTAAGTAACTGGAACTAACATGTGAGCTAAGGGGCTTCATGATTTGTACTCTAATACATGTACGGGTTTGTGCGGAGTGCATGCATGTATAAGATCGAGTCAGAAGCCGGTTCAACGACTAGTCGGGGGTTCGGGGGCAGCGCCTCCGGGTCCGGGGTTTTCAAAGGGCAGCGCCCCTTTGGCGGGGTCTAGGGGCAGCACCCCTAGTGGGGTCCAAGGGGCAGATCCCCTGGATGGGGTCCCAAACCTCACCGAATTTTGCATGTGGGAACATAATGGAAAACTCAATTTCTTAAGGGTGATTATGGTAAAACTAACGAAACTCGTTAGTTTTTGGTAGCCCTAATCCGGATTAATATTACTTGCTTCCAAAGCAACTAATGATGTCCCAACCCTAATGAAACCCTAATCGTGTTTAGTATATAAACAACTCTTTCTTTCCAGAAGGGGGTCTTTTTCTGAGCTCTCGTTTTTCATCACACATTCACAGAACCTTTTAGCATATTAACTTACGTTTTTTTGTGCCTAGAAACGTAAGTGTCCACTTGGATTATCCTAGGTTGAATTTCTTGTAACCCATGCATAGGGTAGAAATATCAGTTCAGAAAGTGATATCACGATCCAAGTTGGTATCCAGATCTCCACCACAAACCCTAATATTCCCAACATATCTTTTGTTGAAACTAAGAAAAATTTTAGAAATTCGTAAATAATATATCGTGAATCTTGTTTTATCATATACGTGTGTACAATTAAATTTTGTCAATTTTGGTATTTGGTTTCGTTCCATCCTAATTACTAATTAGAACACCCCTCGAGCTTTTTAATAAAAACCAAGAAGTTTAAAAAAATATGAAATATCCGATATAGTAAAAAAATCACAAATTTTATTTATAAGTTGTATTAGAAATATGAACAAGTTTGAATTTGTAAATTTACAAGGAATACAAAAAAAATCAAATCAAAATCAAATAATAATTCTTTTAATTTTACATAGCTTATTTTTTTTTATTAAATTTCTGAATAAATAAAATATGCAAATGCTCAAACTTTTCATGTATACAATTCAATTGTGTCACAGGCCTTGTTTCAAATGTTCGATCTAGACAATTTCAAGAAACAAATGTTTTAAAAACCGGTTTGAATCAGTCGGTCAAACCGGTATGACCAGGAGTAGAAGAACGGAACGGTTCAATTAGAACTAGTTTATGTCTATTTCTGAACCAAAATGAATCGATCGATTTTTACAAGTATTCAGTTGTATCAGTTAAATTAAATCAGTTGAATCGGTTAAATTATATAAAAACATATGGAAACAAATCATTTTAGATAACAAACTTTTGTGTTTTTTCACGTCTATTTATATTTCCTTCAATAAAAACACATGGTAAATGTTTTGCAATTTTCGAAGCGTACGTATTCATCTAAAACTATATTTTTTTTATGCGTATTATACTTTATTTTCCTTTTTGATGTACGTAGATTGATGTAAAACTTATGGCAATGACGGAACCAAGAATTTTCGTTAGGGGTAGCACCAAAATACCATTCTTATTTTTAAATTTTTTGAATTTTATAACAATGAACTTTCAGTTTTTTAATTTTATAACAATATACTTTCAGTTTTTCAGTCACTCATGGTCAAAATACCATGCAACACCCAAATATAGAGGATTTTGGTTCCACTAACATTAAAAATAAAAGGGAGTTGCATGAAATAATTTTTCAAATAGAACTTACAATAAAATGTGTTTTAAATTTTATCTTACGCAATGATACTTTATATTCACCTCATATTTGGATTTGCAAGTCCTACAACTAATTTTGCTCCTAGACACACACATGTAAACACATTAGGAAACACTTTATTCTATCCAATGAAGTCTTTTACATCATCCAAGGAAATTTATTTAAGATGACTAATTATTGAAGATCAAGTATTCTCTCGAGTAAATTCATGTGTTTTCTTGTATTGAATATTTTAAGCGAAAGACTCAACTGCCAATAATTCTTTTTATAATTAATTCATGTAATTTTATTAGGACTGCTTAATGTTAGGGCTGTAAACAAACTGAACGTTCAACGAACTTTTCATGTATATTTCGGCGGGATGTTCGTTTATTTAATAAATAAATGAATATGAACGCAGATTCCCGTTTGTTTAGTTATACGAACGAACATGTACAATAATCTTGTTCGTTCAATTATGTTCGTGAACGTTCGTTTATGTTGTTCGTTTACATTTGTTTATGTTCGTTCATATTAGTTCTTTTAATGATTATATATGTTTAATTGTATTTAATTATATTACTATATTATATGTTCATTTATGTTCATATATGTTTGTTTATCTCTGTTCATTTATGTTTGTTCGTTTACCATGTTCACGAACATAAACGAACAAACATGAACCGTGCAATTTGTTAACCGAACGAACATGAACAAGAAAATTCATTCGTTTATCCGTTCGTGTTTGTTCATTTGTTCGACTAACTTAAACGAACAAATACGAACAAGCATCGTTCGTGTTCGTTCGATTCGTTTACAACCCTACTTAATGTTCAAGGAGAATCTCAATCCATTTCCAAATAGCAAAAAAAAAAAAGTCATTTAGGCATTCTACCAAACACTTGATATGCACAAATTTACTAAAAATCAAAGTTACTTGTTACTAGTATTGGATATCGGATGGCAAAGAAAATGAGAAAAAAACAAGCACAAACTTTTCAATTAATTTTCAATTTAGCTTTTTGTTGCCATTTATATGGATCGATTTACGATTATTGGGTTCTTCTTACCAATTTCTTAACAGACACATTCTTGAATCTCTCCACATTAATATTTGAAGTAGCATCATACATCATAAACGAGTACCATCCCATTATCCAAAAAAATTGCAGTTCTTGAACAAATCCAAGGGGTAGCACGGGCTACCCCTGACTCTATGCTAGTTCCGCCACTATTATGGTTATGTGTTTTTTAATTTATTTTGATTGATATACAACTTGTATTTATGTGAACCGGCGGTTGAACACTCCCCCTTTTACAGATACTGATTTTATTAAGCAATAATAATAATGTCAAAAATTTTAATGTAGTATACAAAATAATCAAAAAAAAATTATAAACTCTGAGAATCCGTCACCATACCAATTTAACTTAAAACTCAGTTTTTAATATATTGAAAAGGAGTACCATCCCATCATCCAAAAAAATGGAGTTCTTGAACAAATCCAAAGGGTAGCACGGGCTACCCCTAACTCTATGCTAGTTCCGCCACTATTATGGTTATTTGTTTTTTATTTTACTTTGATTGATATACAACTTGTATTTATGTGAACCGATGATCGAACCAGTTGAACATTTACTTTTTTCAGATATTGATTTTATTAAGCAATAATAATAATGTCAGAAATTCTATTGTAGTATACATAATAATAAAAAAAAATTATAAACTCTGGGAACCCGTCACTATACCGATTTAACTTAAAAATCGGTTTTTAAAATATTGAAAATCTTCAATAAGTCTTAATATTTTGATTTAGTTTACGATTTAATCCCAATTTTTATTTTTTGAAAAAAAAAAGTTGTAGCTATTTTATATTTTGGTCAAACTAACGAAAAAATCTTTATTTTTTTAATAGAAAATAACAAATTATCGTATAAAATTAGATAATCACGATTTAACTAAATATTAAGACTTTATCAACATTTCTACAACTAAATTACTTCTTTCTCAAAATAATAATAATAATAATAATGATAATAATAATTAAATAAGTAATTTTTTTGTTTTCTTGATAGAAAAGAAAACAGTCACAGAACACAAATGCTCAAAAAGGTTTCTTTTCCAACATCAAGAAAAAGAAGCATACTTCATTCTTCTCTCACAACGCACATATTCACGTAAACGCAGCGACTTTGATCTGAAATCCGATATCATAATAATGCCGAAGGAGCAAGCAAACTGGTCTCCCTACGACAACAATGGAGGGTATCCTCATTATGCCCTAAATCATCTCCCTTTCTCTCCATAAATGTATCAATTTCTCAATGTCTTCCCTCTTTGGTATGCATCTATGAAAATGTGCAGAACTTGTGTCGCGATTGCCGGTGCGGATTACTGTGTGATTGCAGCCGATACTCGAATGTCCACTGGCTACAGTATTCTCACCCGAGAGTACTCCAAAATCTGTAAATTGTACGACCATTTTCGTTCCAATTTTGTGTTTAATCAACTAATAAGCTTATATGTACTTGTCATGTGAATTTCGTTTCAACTGGTATGCTGAATATCCAAATCCCTGTCTTGATTAATTGTGAATTCGTGGTAGTTTGATCCACTTTAGGGCTTTAGGGTTATCAGAGATTTACACAATCAACACCTTTCTCAAAGAAAGTCATCGTTGTTTGATCCTTTATTTTCAGAGCGGACAAAAGCTTCATGGCTTCTTCAGGATTTCAAGCCGATGTGAAAGCATTGCAGAAGGTCCTGGCCTCTAGACACTCTGTAAGTACTTAGTCTGGATAAAGTGCTGAATAAATAAATTTCCTTTCATTAAGTCAAAAAGAAACATCACTTTTATATGTTTTTCATCTTCAACAGATCTATCAGCATCAGCACAACAAGCAGATGAGTTGCCCTGCAATGGCGCAGCTTTTATCAAACACCCTTTACTACAAACGCTTCTTTCCATACTACGCATTCAATGTTTTAGGTGGACTTGATAGTGAAGGAAAAGGTTGTGTGTTCACATATGATGCTGTTGGATCATATGAAAGAGTTGGATACAGTGCTCAAGGTTCTGGTGCTACACTTATTACTCCCTTTTTGGATAACCAACTTAAATCCCCTAGCCCTCTTCTGTTGCCAGCAAAGGTTTGTTTGGATCGAGTTTTCATACATTTTTTAGTTTTATATAAGTTTGTTTATGATTGTTGTTTTGTGCAGGATGCTGTTACACCACTTTCTGAAGCTGAAGCTATAGATTTGGTGAAGACTTGTTTTGCATCTGCAACAGAAAGAGATATATACACTGTAAGTATCTACACCACATAAATGATGCCTAAGAAAGATTTATAGGATATAATAGGGAAAGGGAAAGTTACGTTAAGTGAAAAAGAAACACTTATCTATATAGCTTAACAGATGAAAAGTTTGTGTATCTTATAGCTTCTTTCTTATGCACATTATACAGGGAGACAAGGTCGAAATCGTAATTTTGAATGCTGATGGTATTCGTCGTGAATACGAGGAACTTCGCAGAGATTAGTCCTTCTTGTGATCAATCATGTTTGATGGTGTTTCATATCTGAGTTCTTGTAATTTACTCTTGATGTTGAATCACTTAAGTTTGCAATCACATAAAACTTGTGTTTTCGCCTTATTGTCTTTCTTGAAAAGTAAACCATTTTTTATTTTTATTTTCTGGCTTTTGGGATGCAAGCTTTTCATGTTTGGGTATGCATCAGCCTTTCAAGAAAATCAATAATCATTACGTGCTATGTTGAATGTTGTTGACAGCTTTGTGTTTTTTTCTATCTGTTATGGAAAGAGAACACATAGGTGAATACAGTTTCTTTTGCTCCACGCTTTGACTGGAAGCATTGTATTTTTTTTTTAACAAAATATAGTTTGGGTGAAACATGACATACGAAAACAAGCCCTCATTTTTCAATCTACATAACCTAACAACAGCAAAAAGTCCTTAAATCTTATTATTTGAAAACAAAAACTATATAATCAAAATAAGGGAGCTCCACATAATCAAGTTCAATGTTAACATGATCAGCAACTGAAGCCTTATTAAAAGTCATCTTCAGAAGTCCATCCCTTTTTCTCTAAAGCCAATCTCAATGCCTACAAAAACAAATATCACCTTAAAATCATGTGATCATTTTGTTGCATAGGGGTTTGTTTTTTAATACACAAATTCAGTATCAAAAGGAGGCTTATTATTACCTTGACTCTCTTTTTGTTGGCATCAGAAACAAATCCAAAACGTGAAGCTGATCGATATTGTACAACTGGTTTCTTCCCAGAAGGAAACCAAAACTCAACATCATCCACAAACTGACACATGTAATGTAAAACCACAAAACCAATTCAACACCATCATTTCAACATATAAGAAAAACACATTTTGTTTTTTCTTTAACTTACCCCTAAAATCGGGCTTTCATACTCCACTCTTATGTAATCATCTTTCTTCTCTACTACCCTTGGTGTGAAGTTGTCTGGTTTTGTTGATTTTATCTGTGATACCCATAAAAATCAACTAAACTCCTAACACACTTGAAATTTGAAGAAAAATAGGCTTGTAAGTTTTACAACTTGGAAATTAATTATCTAACCACATCTACAAGCTCCTCCATTGCCGCTTCTTTGCTCACAGGTTTCTTGCTTCCACGCCCTTCCTTTGGATTATAATTCCTGCATAAATTTTGAAAATTGAAGTAGTTTAATTGATATTCAAAGTCAATGTATGATAACTTAAATGGTAACAAATGATCTTACCAAGGTGGTGCATAGTGGACAAGGTCACTGATATTCTCAGAAGTTGAAATGCAATTGTTAGTTGCAGGGCATAAAGCTAAAGCAGGAGGATTCTTCTGCACGCCAAGATAATTGGGTTTATTTCCACTGCAGCAAACACAAATTAACTCAAAATTTCTCAATTCTAATTCTTTTTCATTTTTGCAATAGCCCCCAAATAATTTCAAAACTCCGAGGGTTTCTCGCATTTTCCATAACTACAAGCACAGCTAATGAAAATCTAATTCAGTCAAAATATCAAGCATTCAATATCAGAACAATGATTTTTCCACAATAGGTACCTAAAGTGAAAGATAGCACCAAGAACTGCAATTTCGCTGCTCCTCAATATAACCTCCCTGAAAAGTGTAAACACCACGCGTTTGGATAAACTAATCCAGAAATTCATCAGCATTCTTAGACTGATGTGAACGAATGAGATGGGTTACCTTCGAGTTACTTGTTCTTGTTGGTCGTCGGAGTTATTGTTCTTCGAAGATGATATGAACCGACGAGACCAATTGATTCTACTTTTTATGACATTTAATTTACCTTTTGGATTAATTGAGCTATTGTTGTTGTACAAATGCTTATAGATGCTTGGTGATGATGGTGCCATAGACGCCATTGCTGCGAGTTTCAGAGTTGGTCCAGTGATGTGTGTGAACCGGAGATGAAGGGATGGTTTCGACTTTCGAGCACCAAAAAGCGTTTAATTACTTTGTTACGAATCCGGCTTATTTCACATGTTCATCGGATACGTTTACTATGAGTACTCTACGCTTATTGATTTGTAATTTACAACTTTTTTTCTTCATAAATCGGTGTAAAAGTATTGAGAGTTGAGATACAAAATTCTTACCCCACAAATTTAACCCTTCAGATAAATTAGTCGATATGTCTAAAACTATGGTTTCGGGTTTTGACTTTTGAACATTTGTAACACTAAAATATACTTTTACAACCCACAAGGCACAAGATGCGTAAAAGGGTCTTTTTTTAAGCATTAATTAAAGCTTTAAATCACATTCAATTAAATGTGTATGCTACAAAAAGTACGTGGGTTTCAGACTCTGTGGAGCTAATTGACTAAATGAACGAATGCTGTTAAAAAAAACGTTTTTTACTTCCATTTTTTCTTTATGGACACCTCACTTTGTGGATATATGTTTTTAATTGGTGCTTAGTCACCATACTTTTTCTACTCATGCCACGTATATACATGTTCACCATTTCCTATCTCAATTTATTCACCGTATGCACATAGGAATCACCAATTCTACACTCTAATCGTTATAGATAATACGATTATATATATATATATATATATATACATACTAGGTAAATTTAAAGGCCGTCCTAAGGACGGCCCAGGGTCATTTCACAGCTATGTAGGAGCAAGACATTTGTTATTTATTTCAAAAAAAATCATTGTTTAGATTTAATTTTCAGTAGTATATACATATTGCAAAATGAACATATTTATATACAGAATTTTTGATACATAAAAGCAAACAAACGTCGGAGTTCAAACCTCAAATTAGATAGTTTAGTTAATGAACATAATATATTTAATTCAACACTCTTATAGGTATGTTTAGAAGAATTAACTTTGATTCTTTCCATACTACATCCACAAGATTAACATCATACAAGTATACCAACTCATAATTGCTTTGACCAACGACCTTTAATTCATTTACAGCATCAGAAGAAAAAAGAAACTGCTCCCTTCACAAATGGAAAAGCAGTGGTATTCAGACACAATCATAGGAACACATGATAACGCTAACAAATCAAAAGATTATAGATATTACTCATGGACTTGATGCCAATGCTGTCAACAGGAGCTAGAAAATCATTAAGTCATTCAGTATGCATTCCTGACCAGCAGTCTCATATTTGTAGTTTGACTGTTTTCCATCAAGCTCAATGGTCCTTGTCTTAAATTAAAATACTATTTTAAGTGTCACGAGCACACAAATCAAATTTTAATGTTATAGTTAGGTAGATTTCTCAATGTATAACGTCCAAATAAGAAAAACATTAGAAAAAGTACAATGCTATAATTAGACAGAATCTACATACTATAATACATTAATTACAAAATATTTGTGACATCCCCAAAATCTCGGCCAGAAAAGACCAATTTTCATTTATGCTTTTAAAATAAATTCAGAGTTAATCCTTTTGATTTGAAAGAGTTGCGGAATTTGTTCCCAAAAACAAAACATGATAAAACAATGTTTACCAAAGCATTTCATAAAAGAAATGTATTTTTCATTATATAATCAAAACTCGGGGTGTCATGTTCCGATATAGACCAACAAGCATAAACGATAACATTACAAGTCATTCAACAAATATATACATATACAAACTTGTAAACAAAACAAGTTGATGGTTCATCCATCTTACGCCCTTGCGCCACTTCCTGTAATACAAATAAAACTGAGTGGTCAGGCTTGGGAGCCTGGTGAGTATATAGGGTTTTCAACCCACAATAAATAATTAAATTAATTATTATCAACCAACAATAACCCAGTTACCCATTCCCGTTATTCTCACTTTACGTCCCTAATATAACTAACACAAGGGACCTAATCTAAGAATATTTTCATCGGGGTGACAACACATGCTGCGGGGGTTCCTCAGCAATATAAGTCAAATAAGGCAACCATGAGGGGGATGGAATACAGCGAATGAACACCCAAGTTCATTAACACCTACAGGTTATGAGCCTGCTAGCGTTCCACTGGACTGTCTAGAAAAGTCCGTGGTCGTCATCTAAATTCCGCTAGATGACTGGATCAAAACAACAACGAGGCCTCTCATCTGTTTATTACACACCAACTATCTACCCATGTTCTACCCAACATATTAGTAGATAAAAACATACATTTTTATACATATTTTCAAAACCTGTATAGCATGCTTGATCAATACATTTTCCATATAACAGATGAGGCACACACACATAACACGTATTTCATATAGAAATAATCAGATCTGTAAGATAGAAGAAAGTGAATATACATTCACACACATAACAACAAAATATATATACACATAACACGTATCTCGTATAAAATACTTCATAATTATACGTCAGGAGAAAGTAACAACGCACTTACACGTATAAACAACAATATACTTAATACACTCAAACCATACTTGTATTATTATTGCGTTTATGAAAGGTAGTATACACTCACTTCATCAGAAGATGATCGGACAGCACTACGACTTGCAAAAGTAGTAATCCTCAGTAGATCTGGAAGATCTCTTTCAAAAATCGAACTTCTCGCAGGCAGAGCTTCGGCTCGGAAACCGCACTTCTCGGGATCTTCGGGATCTCAGGACTTGCTTCGGGACTCGGGAATATTACCGGGGCTTCGGGATATTTCTGGCACGCAAATCGAGGCAAAACGGGAGAGAGAATGGAGAAAAATAGCAAAGAAACTCGGCAGCCTCGCATCCTATTTATAGGAGGCTGATGCCTCGGAGTACGCGGGGCGTACGCCTGTACGCGGGGCGTACAGGTCCGAAATCGTAAGCGCATGCGTCATCCGAAGTCCTCGAGTGCGAATGTCGATATCTTCACTGTACGCGGGGCGTACTCCGGATGAGTCCGGTGACTCGTCTTCGGATAAGGTCGGATTTAATAATTAAATTTAATTATTAATTATTTAATAAACTTCGAAAATTCATATCTCCTTCATACGAACTCCGTTTTCGACGTTCTTTATATCCACGCGAAGGTGAGACTACGCTCTACAACTTTCGTTTAGACTCCGTCGGCTAATTTTGAATTTATTTTTATTATTTATTTTTAATAGGCCGGGACAGAAAATTTCGTTATAAATTCCTAACTTCTTCGTTTGACGTCCGTTCTCACCTAACTTTTTATCGCTTTGATACTAACAACGAGATCTACGATTCTCGTTTAGATCACTAAGGCTAAATATCGCTCTAACGTAAATTTCACTTTTTACGTTAATCAGCGTTGTCGGTTCTGTCGCGAAACTTCGACATGTCATAACTTCCTCGTTATAACTCGGATTTCGGCATTCTTTATATCTTCGGAAACCTTGTTTCAACTACTACAACATTACCTAAAGATATAAAGGTTATTTTACACTTAAATTTTGATGCTTATTTTTATTCTTAATTAATCAAACCACATAATTAACCAATTAAAACACAAAACACATAATACTCAAATAATACACTTCTATTATTTCAAAACGGGTTACAAAGGTTAACCTAGACTATCACATTGCTAAAAATGGCAAGCCCAGAAACACAGGCGTTACAATTCTCCCCACCTTAGAATGATTCCATCCCCAGAATCACACCTCAACAAACAAATGCGGATAGCGACCCATCATGTCACTCTCCGTCTCCCAGGTGAGATTCGGCCCATTCTTGTGTTTCCATCGGACAAGCACTAATGCGACCATCTTGCGTCGCAACTTCTTAGTCTTTCGGTCAACAATTGCCTCTCGTTCTTCAATCAACCTTTTGTTCTCATCGATTCTCAACTCCGAAAGTGGAATCATATCGGGAACTTCCCCCGTGAACTTTCGTAAATAACACACATGAAAAGTGTTATGAATTCCATTCAGTTCTTCTGGTAGTTCAAGCTTGTAAGCTTGGTTCCCAATTCTCTGAAGAACTTTAAACGGTCCAATAAACCTTGGACTCAACTTTCCCCTTTTACCAAATCGTATAAGTCCCTTCAACGGCGAGACTTTAAGTAAAACCGAATCCCCAACTTCAAAAGTCATCGGTCTTCGCTTTTTATCAGCATAACTCTTTTAACGATCTTGAGCTGCTAACATTCTTTCCCTAATTATTTTCAACTTTTCAGCAGTTTGATGAACCATCTCCGGTCCCATAAATTGCTTTTCCCCAGCCTCAAGCCAACAAGACGGCGTACGACACTTTTGTCCATACAAAGCTTGGTAAGGTGTCATCTTAATGCTCGAGTGAAAACTATTGTTATAGGAAAATTCTACCAATGGTAACTGTTCATCCCAATTACCTAGGAATTCTAAGGTACATGCTCTCAGCATATCTTCAAGTGTTTGTATCGTTCTTTCACTCTGACCATCAGTCTGCGGATGGTAACATGTACTTAAACACAACTTGGTACCCAATTCCTCTTGTAGACTTTTCCAAAATCGTGAGGTGAAACGGCTATCACGATCTGACACAATCGTTAACGGAACACCGTGAAGCCTCACAATTTCCTTTAAGTAAGAATTCGCAAGCTTTTCCATAGACCATTTCTCCCTGGCTGCTATGAAATGCGCACTCTTAGTGAATCGATCGACAACCACCCAAATCATGTCGTGACCACTCTTTGTTCTGGGTAGTTTAGTGACAAAATTCATAGCAATGTCTTCCCACTTACCCATAGGCACAGGTAAAGGTTCTAAACTCCCATACGGTTTCTGATGTTGTGTCTTGACTCTTACACAAGTCACACACTCTGCCACATACTTTGCAACATCAAGCTTCATCGTCGGCCACCAGTAGTAGGGTTTCAGGTCCCTATACATTTTAGTGCTATCGGGATGAATCGAGTACATGGTTTTGTGAGCTTCTTCCATCAGAAGATCTCTGATTCCTCCTATCTTAGGTATCCAAATCCGATCCCTGGAACACCTTTAGTCCGTGACTGTTTACACCGAACACCAACGTTTTGCCCAAACGTTCCTCCTTTCGGTCATTCTTTTCGAAAGCTTCCTC